TTTTGTAAGAAATACTCCTAATAACCCATAATGTTTCAAGAAAGCCAATCAAATATTAAATTCTTCATGTTATTCCTTGAAAAACAGACCAAAGAGGTCAACTACTCTCATATGTGAAGACAATCAAAAGTGAGTCAATAAAGCTTGGATATTATCTTCTAGATATTTTTTTCCTTTCTGAGACACCCATTTTTTGAGTTGGGATCTTCTACCAGTAAAATACATTCCAACCCTCTACCAACTTATCTACCATCGCATATCTCATCATAAGACTTAAGACTTAGACCCATTATAAAAGTAAGACCCATCATAGATAAGATTTTGCAGTATTAAATAATATTGGTAGAGGGTTGGAATGTATTTTTTTGGCAGGTGATTCGGAGTACAACAGACATGGTCCAAATTCTGTCTTTTTTGTTGGTATTCGGTTCAAATTCTGTCCAGACAATTTCAGTTTTTTCCTGCAGAAGGGCAAGAGATTTAGAAAATATCTTCAAGATTACTAAGCACTTGTCTCATTATCTTGATTAAATATTGTAAAACACTAAAACCATTGGTTATTAATAAATCTCCTTTTTCTTCCAAACTGCAGTCAAGATCTCTTCGGTTCCATTATTATCTTAATAACTAAATTATTTTTAATCATTTTATTTGATATTTTCCTACCATTCTTTATCCCCTGTTGGGATAATAGGCTAAATAATAAAGAATTGTGATAAAATTCTTATTAATAAAGACTGGGAAAAAAGGAATCAGGACCATTAATTCTGTATACCTTTGTCTTGGACATTAACAATAACTTATCAATTTAATAAAGATGACAAGTTCAAAATGTCTATTCCCAGATCAAATTGGTAGAAGGTTGGTATGTATTTTATTGGCAGAAGATCGCAATTCATCTGAATCAATTAGTGTTATCAATACTTCGTCTAAAGAATTTAATGAATTATTATATGAGGTACATGTGGCGAATTGGGATCTGCTAATCATTGAACACGCTCACAATGACCTTATAGCCACATCCCACCCTGTAAGAACATTTCTCTATGAATAATAAATACAAATATGGGAGATGTTCCTGATGTGCAGTTAGGACATGTTGTGAGGTCGGTGTAAGATGTGCTGTGTGAGGAGCAGATCTGGACTCACATGTGGTTATAAGAGGTGAAAATCATGTACTTGAGGAATTTGCTTTGCATTGGGCCTGGGCTTCTGGGTTAGGAGCACTCAAATTTTAACATATTCTCAACCTGAGCTTGCCAATAGGGCTGTCAACGGGTTGGTTCTGGGTTGGAACCAGGTAGAACCGGTCTTAGAACCGATAGGAAAACTCATGGACTTGGAACCGATCCAAACCCAATAGGGTCTGAAATTCTGGACCCAGAACCGAACTGATCGATTTTTGGGACAATCGAGTCTAACCCAATGGACCCGATTTGGATACGTATGCTAATAATACCCCTGCTAAAAAATGCAATAAAAACCCTGTAAAAACCTAAAACACAACAAAAATCCTACTAAAAACAATAAAAAAACCTGCTGAAAAGGAAATTGATAAAAACAATAATAACTATATATATATATATATATATATATATGAATTGGGTCCAAATCAGTTTGGGACAAGATGGATTCGGTTCTCACCCGATAATAATTGGGAACTTTTTTTTAAGAACCGGAACTGATCCATTGGAACGAGAACCGCCCCAATTGGTCTGGTTCCATCGGGTCTGACCTGATCCATTGACAGCCTTACTTGTCAAGTTGCATCACTAATAGCATTGCTAGGTGGGAAGGTCATGGATCGGTAGGGCAACATGGGCGGGCTGGGCCAGGTTTAAGGTCAATTCAGGCCCAAGGCTTGGGCACAAGACTCGAGCTCATGAGCTGAAGGTCAAACCTGATATGGCGGATCCGAACCCAGCTTGAGAGAAAGTACACTTAGATGTTTATTTATTTCTTTATTTCATAAGTAGTAGACAATTAGACATAGTTTGGTCACGTGTATAAGAAGATCGTCAATAGAAGCCTTAATAAGAATTGAAGGGGTTAAAATGGTCAGGGGAAGAAAAAAAAAAGGACTTTGGTAAAAGTGGTTAAAAATGACTTAAACACTAATAATTTAACAATGGATATTACTTTAGGTTCGGATTGGAATGAATAGAAATACAAATATGTAGAGTGCAAAACGTTGTATTTTGTATTGTAGATATATATTTGTATTTGTACTTCTTTTAAAGTGAGCCTTATAGATAATAGAATACAAAGTAGGATTCGTGTAGCTGACCCATATAGTTGGGAAAATTTTCCTGAGCTATTAAATAGAAAAATTATATATTTTGTGTAAAATGACTAATTTCATGTGTATATAATGTTTCAACCTGTCATTGATCCGACTGGTCGAATGGTTTGCATTGTCATTCGGTCAAGATTTCAAGTGTGATTTGCATGAAACTCACCATTTGATCAAAAACAATTTATCTGGTCAAAAATTGCCCAAACCGGGTGGGTTAAATCATTGACCTGTTCGATCCAGTCATGGGTCACGAGTTGGACATTCAAAGTATGTACAAACTTCTGGAGGTCATAATTAACTTTGCATTCAGATATCCAACTAGAGTGATCTTTTTATTTTTATTATTCTGGACCCTGCTAAACTTTTTTTTATCCTCAAACCACAAATTTTAGCATTTTTCTATAAATAAAAAAATTAAAAAATATAATTAAATATATTTATATATATGCTGATGTATAATAGCCTGACCCATTTCATTCGGATGGTCGAATTCATAACCCACACGACGTGAAAACAAAAATGATTTGACCTTCGGATCCATTTTTAAAATTGATATGTATAATCAAATTGGGCTATGTGCCACCAAATGATTGGTCCAACTTGCCTGATCACATCCAAGGTTGGACTCATGTTATTTTATAGGGTTGTCTTTCAGGTTTCTAGAGATTTCCCAGGACTAATAAAATATAAGGTTGCCTGCAGACACAATCTAGGGTACATAACTGAGTCATTTCTTGCATTCTGATGATTGGGATCAAATTATCACATATTTCCTAATCAAATTAATTTTGAAATATCCACTTAAATTCATGGTTAGGTTCTGTCAAATAATTTTTGACAATCTCTATGTGAACTCAGATTCAGTCCTGTTCATACCGTTTTCACAGCTACTTGCGACTGTGTACTAAGAATAGATTGTTTAGTTCAAATAGAAATTGGAATTGGAATTAGAATCCATTGGAATGAAATCTTATTTTCAAGGGAGGGGAAGGAATGACCATTCCTTCAAATGAGGGAATACCACTCCACCAGAAATAGGAATGAGATTTTAATTCTACCTAACCAAAGAATTTGAATCAGAATATGCCATTTCAATTCTAATTCCAGACCCCTATTCCCGCAAACTAAATATGCCTAGAGCAGATTATGTAAGTCCCTTACTACAAGATTATAACAGGTATACAATCCTTGTTACGTGAACTGGATCTTGATCAATTAACTCTACCACCCACATTGTCGGTGCAACAATTAATGTCTCAGGCTCTCAGCCTCAGCAACCTACTGACTGCAAATGCACAAGAGAGCAAAATATACAGAGTGTAAATTCTGCTGTATTTTGGCTTCATATTTGACTGTCTTAAGAGGTAAAATGAGAATGGGTAGGAGGGTTAAAAAGTAGGAATGGCAACGGGGCGAGGAGACCTCGACCCCCAAATCATCCCCCGTCCCCGACCCTGATCCCGTCAGGGAAAAAAATTCCCCTCCATCCCCGACCCCGACGGGGAATTCATCCCTGTCGGAGACCCGAATCCCCGATTTGAGAGAGAGACTCCAGACTTGCGACTTGCGAGTAGATTCAGATCTGTACTGAAGTAGATTCAGATCTGTACTGAAGTAGATTCAGATCTATAATCTATTTGAGATTTCAAAAATCAGAAATCAAAAGCATTGAGAGAGAGGACCATTACGGGCTTTGAGTTGCAGCATTGCCTCACCTGAGAGAGAGAGAGAGAGAGAGAGAAAGAGAGACGAAGAAGGAAGAACAGATCAATGAAAGAAGAAGAGTAGGGCACTGCCATACTAGGGTTTTGAGTTTCAGGCTTTCAGCCACCACATCTGTTCTTTCTTCTTCGTCTGTCGAAATGGTAGTAGAAGAGTCTCTCAACAGAAGAAGAGCTGAAGAGTAGGGCACTACCATACTAGAGTTTTGAGTTTCAGGCTTTCAGCCGCTGCATCTGTTCTTTCTTCTTCGCCTGTCGAGTGGTAATAGAAGAGTCTCTCGAGAGTTTTAAGTTTTTGTCTTTTTAGTCTACTTTTTTACTCTTTTTTGAGTTTTTGTAATTTGTGTAATGTTTAATTAATTGTTAGTTGAAATTGTTATTTGTTAATCAAATAATATATAATATTATAATATATTATACATATTATATTAATCGGGGCCGGGGCGGGACGGGGATTGCATTCCCCACCCCGATTGGGGATTCAATGTTAGCCCCATCCCCGACCCCGACCCCGCCAAAGCACTCTCCATACCCAGCCCCGCCGGGTCGGGGAGCCCAAGTACCCATTGGGGACAGGGAAAATTGCCATCCCTACCAAAAAGCAACATAAGATAAAAAACAAAAGTTTGAGTGGCTGATTCGGACTTTATTTGTTTGGGAGTAAAATAAAAGGCATGTAAAATTTGCATTGATTATCATTTTGAGATGTAAAATTTGCATTGATATGGTCTCTATTTTATATGAGAGAGAATTGAGGTAGGAGGTAGTGCAAATTTTGATTATCTTTTTGAGATGTAAAATTTGTATTGATAGTAAGTGCAAATGAGACAAAAGTACAAATTTTATATCAGGTAAAAGTGTAAATCATAATTACAAATAAATATATGCAAAACTAAATGGAATGCAAAATTTGTATCTGGTTCAGATTTGCTTTGCAAGCAAATAAAGCCTAAAATCCGTATATTAAATTTTTAGTGATGGTGTTTCTCCATGCTCAATTGTCAAATCTAAATTAATGCTGAAAGTTTACTGCACTAACACATTCATCTGCAGCTGAAGTAGAAAAAACAAAGAAAAAAAGAAAAACTATTTATTGTCATATGCCGCCGAGACAAAATTTCTTCAATCTCAACAAAAAGAAAATCCAATGAGCACGGAATGATCATGCAATGTTGTCCACCAAGTTTAGAGTTTCTTCATGATCTGCGGAATTCTTTATGCGCTCCATTGCTTTATCAACCTATGAAAGATCAAAAAATACTGATTACTTGCTCCATTTTAATATATGTGATTTTAATATATATATTCATATAAAGTGAACAAAGAAGACTTACCTCCTTTATCCAATTTGTTTTGGCAGTTAAAATGATAAGGGTTACCGTCTGTAGAGAAACTCCTAATATCATCCCCCACCAAATCCCCTGAAAAAGACTCAGTTCAGTGATCAGAATAGATAATTAATACATAGAACAATAGAGACTAGAGAGAGAGAGAGAGACTTACAGTTGCTCCTAGACTTGTTTTGAACCCAAGAACACATCCAACGGGGAGACCAATAATGTAGTAAGTGCTTAAATTAACATAAGCCACCAGGGCTTGCCATCCACTCCCAATAGCAACACCTGAAATCCCAAAACATTTCTGATGAAACCCTAAAAGAGTTTGTAACTTTGAATTCAGGCATGCTCATTTAAGCTAAGTCCATCTGAATATTGAGAGCTTTTTGACTTGTGCTTATTTGAATAAACACTTGCTTTTAAACACTCCCAAACATGGCCTTAGTCCAAAGTTTGGAATGTGGCTAACTTCTTTTGGACAGCGTATTTATTTCTGAAAATTGTACCTGAGAGTATGGGTTGAATGCCATTTAGGAAGACTGAGATTGCAAGCAATGGTGTCAATTCGGAAACCGCCTTAATAACTGAACTGCTAGAAGTGAAAGCCTCACTTAATGGGGTTCGGCATACAAGAACAATTACACTAAAAACCAAACTGATCAAGATGCTGGTTGTGTTGACAACAATCACTGAGAACTTGGTGACCTTTGGGTGAGCAGCCCCGAGCTCATTACCCACTCGAACACTGCAAACCCCAGAAAACTGTAAGCACTAAAATTCCGCATTTATCTGTTATTGAATTCAGATGCAATTACAAATCTAATTAATGCTACAAACCTGGCAGCTGCACTTAGACCCAACATAAATTGCATGTCCCAATTCAGGTAATTCATGCTGAAATATCCACAGAACATGTAAGTGTACAACAGAGAGAGAGAGAGAAAGAGAGAGAGAGAGAGAGAGAGAGAGAGTTCATTTACTTGGTCATACCATATAGAAATAGAGTCAAGTGCAACCGTGGGATTAGGGAGGAGGCCTGATATAAGTACCAGGCTCTGGTTGTACCATATCTCCAAGCTGTATCAACATGTTCAAAAGATTAATTAGATAACCTGAGCTAATAAGATTAAAGATTAGAACTTAGGAAAATGTTTTGAACACATACCACAGCATGACAGCAGAGGAAGCTGTGAGCTTGAAATAAGACCATAGTCCTTTGAAGGTCTTCATAGAGAACCCAGTCCAAGTCTTCTTGCAAGATGGGCTTAAAACTACATAAAGCCCAGTTATTATAAGTAAGACCCACCAAGAGAAACTCAATGTAAGAGATGCTCCTAGAAGCCCACACTTGAAAACATAGAGAACCAGCCATGTAAGCAGGATGTGCAAGAGGAACACCCCTACAGAAATGCAAGCTAATGGGTTGACTATGTTCTGGGCTTGGAGGAACCTCTGCAAGGGACAGTAGATTGCAAAGGCATAAAGTTGAGGGAGGAGCCCATGTGAGAAGACTTGGCCATTGTCTGCTATGCTGTCTGATTGACCAATTGCTCGGAGGATTGGGCCTGAGAACCAGTAAACAAAGGAGAGAATCACAGCAGCTCCCAAATGCAAAATTATGGCTTTCTGGCAAATGATACCAAGGGCGGCATACTTCTTCGCTCCATAAGCTTGGCCACACACAGTCTGCACTGCACTAGACATGCCCAACTAGACAAAGCATCACGACAAATTAACAGCAGAAAATAAATGGTTATAAAAGCATGTATAAATATTCTTGATTATTAATCCTATTCCTTTTTGTGTTTTTCTATCTAACAGTTAAAAACCTTTTGGTAAACTTTGCTCTTTTTTTTTCTGTATGAAAACGTGTTAGGGGTGCATAACTTATCGAAAAGCAAATGGGGCTTAGTGGAAGGTGGATTATGTAAATAGATTGCAAACTATAGGGGTGTTTTAGTAAAATAAAAACTATAAGATAGGTTTAAATAAATTCATAAAACTATAGGGAGTGTTCTAGAAAATGACCCTATTTATTATTTTATTTTAAGTGAGATATCCTATTTAAATATTTATTTTTAATGAACTAGTTTCCCCTTTATCATAAGTGAGATATCCTAGTTTTATCATAAAAGGATTAGAAAATAAGTTGGAATCAAAATTAATTTATAGTGAACTTCGACCTCCAGCCTCTAGAGAGAGAGATGCTGATAAGCAGTGAAAAGAAAAACATGAAGAAGCTGGATTGAAGAGAGACTCACCATGATGCCATAAGCAAGACCTTGGATTCCGACGTTGGCGATAGAAGCTCCGGCAAGTTCCAAGGAACCGAGATGACCAGTGAACATCTGGGTTACTAAACTGAGCATGAAATTGAAAATGGAGACAATGATAGAAGACCCAGAGAGGAGCCAAAGCAGTCTGGACTCCCAAGCGAACAGCCGTGACCACCACCTCAGAGGCACAGCTTCAAGTGACAATATCTCTTCAACGGCGTCGGAAGACAAATCGGAGAGCCGGGGAAAGCTTTCCAGGCCGAGCAACAATGGCTCACTGACGCTGCTCTGTCCCATGGTGCAGAGATCTCTGTTTTGCTTGTAACCACTGTAACTGGGCTCAGTTGATTATTTATCGCTCATAGACATATGCAAATACAAGGGAATGCGCCGTGCACGCATTAAGGAATTAAAGGAGAAGACTACATCTACCCTTCTGGACTGTTGACTTGGTGTGCTTACCAGATTTCAGAGAAGGGAAGTAGCTACTGCTATCTAACTTCTACACTTCACCATGAAGCAAGCTTTTTATTAAAGTCTCGGGACCAGACTTGGTGTCTTAACTAAAAATCTGTGTAATGATGTCATAATTTATAAGAAGAGCAACCCTCCAAAAAAAAGGAGAAATATTCCAAAATCGGAATTGGTTTGGATCAGGGTTTTGGCAGATAAGGCCATGTATGGGAGTGCTTAAGTTAAAAATAAGTGCTATAAGAATAAGCACTTATTTGCATTGGGCATCCAACTTTTTCAAGTGCTTATTTTTTAAAATAAGCACTTATTTTATATTGGGTGTTTGTTAGTCTTTTTCTCTAATAAGCACTTAAATAAGCATTTGTGACTATTTTGTCTTTCGGTTTCTTTCAAATTCAAAATATACCCTTTGAAAGCACTTTTGTTAAATTACTTTTATAAAAACACTTTTATGAAAGCATTTTTACGAAAGTACTTTTATGAAAACACTTTTACAAAAACACTTATAAAGGTACATTTACCAAAGCACTTTTAAGAAAGTACCCTTACGAATGCACTTTTATGAAAGCACTTTTGTAAAATTACTTTTATAAAGTGCTTTCGTAAAAGTGCTTTCATAAAAGTACTTTCATAAAAGTGCTTTCATTAAAGTTCTTTCGTAAAAGTAGTTTTATAAAAGTGCTTCATAAAAGTACTTTTATAAAATTGCTTTCGTAAAATGCTTTCATAAAAGTACTTTTATAAAATTTAACTAAGAATAATTTTATTAGTGGTATTTTAAAATTCATTTAGGGATAATTTTGGAAGAAAAAAGTTGAATAAGTGCTTATTGTATACGCACTTAAAAAAAGCTGGAAATTTGGTTTAAAAAATAAGCCCTTATTTTTAAAATAAGCACTTGTTTCAGGCTCATTTCCTAAATACCAATAAGTGCTTAAGGGCCCAAATAAACACTTATTTTGAATACACATATATTTTTAAGCACTCCTAAACATGGCCTAAGAATCATATGAGGAGTCTGATTTCAATAAGTATTTTTTAAATGGAACCCTTCTAAGGTGGCAAATAGATGGGTTAGAGACCTATCCACCCTTTTGACCCGCTTAAATATTTAAAGTTGTTTAGATCTTTTGATAAATAGTTTGTTGGGTTTTTTATAGTGTTATGTGCCATTACTGATTCAACTAGGCGATGTACACAATAAGACTCAATTTAAACAATTTTAGTTGGGAGAGAGATGTGATTGACCCAAAAGGGTATTCATGACCAATGTTTTAAAAAGAAATCTGGTTCGAACTGATAACCTGTTCTGAAAAATAAATTAAAATGAAAAAAAGTCAAAAACTGTTGAATGGATTGAACAAGTTAATGGTTTAATCGCTTTGATCAACGGGTCATTGACCAATTCAACAGTTTTTGGCCAGAGACCAGATTTGGGATAAAATGGAACCGATTGCATGGATGGCTCCAAACCATCTGGAACGACAGTTTAAAAACATTATTTATGACCTTTAATTTCTTACCCATTATTTAAATCAATGGATGGATTTGAATAGGTTATAAGTGGCTGGATTGGGTTAAAAATTGCAACCCCTAAATATTTATTTAGGCTCAGTTTGGAAGGAATACAAATGCAAATATGTAAAGTACAAAATCTTATATTTTGTATTATTTTATATGTATTTATATTCTTTTCAAATTAAGCCTTAAGAACCTTCTAAAATAATTGTATAAAAGGACCGGATTGTCAAATAAACTAAACTACTTTATTTTACACGTAGGCATGTCAAATGGATGAGGTAAGGTGGTAAGGTGTGCCAAATCCGATCGTTAATACAGTGCCATAACATTTGTAAATAGAGCCACCGAGTGCAAAGATACTATATGTGGAACGGAGAAAGTCAGATCGGGTTCGGGTTGAACAGATCAAAGCAAATGTCCCCAAAAGGGATTTACTTTGTAGATGGAAACTCAAATGTCCCAAAAAGTTTGTTTGAACAATTGGGAGACAGGGAAAGAGATTTTAATTCGGGTCTACCAGACCACCAATCATTCCAAATCTTGTGAATAAGTACCGACCTTTCGGTCAAAATCTGTTTGGTAGTTAAACTCTTAAACCATTTGGCATTTGCTATCTATCAGTCAAACTTCCTCCAATAATAAATGCAATCAAGGGGACTGGTCTGTGCCTCTCGGTCTCGGATGAAACCCAAAGTGTTCACTTGTTGCATGTTTCGCGGCCCAACACTGCTATATGTTACTGGTTGGGATTCGTGCAATGCAGAGCAAGATTGAAAGTAAAAGGAGTCCTATCAAATTCCCTATTGACACCAGAATAATATACGGACTTTATTAAAGGAAATTAAAACAAAAGGAATCCTATGATATTTAGAAATGCTGGGAGACGGGGGGTAGCATGCCCCCAGGAGCCAGAAATACAAATAATTAAAAGAGAGGAGGGAATGGAGGCTGGGGTAGGGAAAATATTTAGAAATGCTGGGAGCTAAGTCTTTTTATGTAAAAATTAAGCATTTTTTTTTTGTTTTCTCTAGTTAGTCTAATTACAAATCAAGTAAGTTGTACACCCCAACAAGTGTAGACAAATTTGTGTTTATATTTTATTAATTAACTTTGTTTGTATTTTAATTTCTAGTATTTTTAAAATAACAGTAAATTAGTAAAAGTTAATTTTAAAATCAATAAGTTAATTTGTATAAGACTTGGATGATGATGATGATCAAGTTAGTTAAGGGGAGGTTTTTTGCATAGGACAAAGTAGAGAGGAAGTTGGTCAAACTACATGGGAGGTTTAAGTAATTTATTTCATGGGTGCAAGAGGGGTGTCAATGGACCGGTTTTGGATTGGACCCCATCCAAACCAAAATTAATTTGGACGGGTTGGACAGACCAACAAGACATTGAATTGGACCAGTCTAGATTTAATGGTCCAAAGTATTTATTGGATTGGGTTGGATTGAGCCAATATCTGGTCTAGTGATAGAAGATAAGAATATAGGTGTCAATGGACCAAGTTTGGATTAGAATTAAACTACATTAAACCAAATATGAACAAATTAGATGATCCAAACATTGAATTGCACCGTTCCAAAATGGTCCAAAATATTCATTGGATTGGGCTGGACCTGGTGTAATGGACTCACATTGGATTGGATCGAATTGGACCAAATCTAGTCCAATTGACACCCCCAGGTACAAGTTGGGTGGGCTGGGTTAGGTTTAAGGTCAATCTAGGTCCATCTTTTCACATTGAGTCTAAGGTTGAGCCTATATTAGGTTTGAGGTCAAGCTTGATCTTTCAAACATAGGCCTAGCCCAAACTTAAAACTTACATACTCAATTTGGGCCTGGGCCTAAACTTAAGTTGGCCTTGGATTGGTCAATTAGGCTTAAGTGGGCCTATTAGGTCCAATCTAGCAAAAAGTTGTATGAACCTATTTAGTATCACTAAATTAAACCTTTAAATAGAAATTTTATATATTTTTCATATAAACATGCATTCATATATGTATGAATAGTCTAATTGGATATTCGGGAATGAGTTGGGGGTTTAGGCAGAGGACCTAGCAAAAATCGGGTGTTGAAAACTGCCTCTCTTTGTTGTTAGGTAGCAGGCTACGGAACAAGAAAGACCAAAATAAACACATGGGGATTTTTACAAAGGGTAGGCTTAGAAGAGGGTTGTAGACACCCCCCATTTTTGCACGCTTCAGTCTTTCTACAACACTTCAAGCTTCAAGCATGCTTCAACTAACCTCTTAGTTGAACCAGGGACACTTTTGGAATTTTACAAAACTTTAGACCTTTACATTAACAAACCTATCCCCATTGGTACATGTTAAGGTTTTAGACAAGTTGTCTAGTATATAGTGGTAGTTTTTTGATTATTTATTGTTTAGATAGGAAGTGGGGACCACAACACTCTTGTTGAGTTATTTTTGAGTAGTTATTTTAATTGTTTTATACTATTTTGTGTGTTAGCCGTCCTATAACGGTATATTGGTCTTTGTACTCTTTATTATTTTAGACTATAAATAATAGTGAAGAGGGCGACCAACATTATTGCTCTCTTTTCTCTCTCAAATCTCTTCTTTTCCTTTTCTCCTTTCTTCTCTTCTACTTCAAGAAATATTCTTTTCTTTTACAGATTTTTTATTTCAACACTTCTCTACTTGGTATTAGAGCAAGACTTGGGTTCCTTGGAGTTTTTTCACAAGAGGAGTACTTTCATCACCCTAAGGGTTTCAAGGATCTGGCTTCTCCCTCTAATATTTGCAAACTCAACAAAGCTCTTTATGATTTTTGACAGGCCCCACATGCATGGTACTCTTGCCTTAGCACTCATTTTACTCAACTTGGTTTTCGCATGTCAGTAGTCAACCCTTCCTTGTTTATTTACCACAAGGATTCGGTCGTTCTATACGTGTTGGTCCATGTCAATAACATCCTTCTCATTGTTTCCTCCTCTTCTGCTCTTGATGATTTAGTTGCCACACTTGGTCGTGCTTTCTCTTTAAAGGATCTTGGTCCGGCTCAGTACTTTCTTGGCATGGAGATTACACCAAAATCCCATGGCATCGTTTTTACTCAACGATGGTACATTTTGGATCTCTTGCAACGCACCAACTTGGTTGAAGCTAAACCTCTCACTTCTCCCATGGTTGTTACTACTAAGCTCTCCAAGTTTAGTGGTGATCATCTTTTTGATCCTTCTGAGTATCAGAGAATCATTGGCTCTCTTCAGAATGTTACCATTATGAGGCTTGATATTTCCTTCTCTGTGAACAAGGTGTGTCAATTTCTCCATTCTCCAACAATAGAACACTGGACTACTATTAAGCGGATACTTCGGTATCTTAAACACACTGCTAATAATGGTTTTCATTTTTACTCCACATCAGCTCTCCTTACTCTTCGAGCTTTTTCCGATTTTGATTGGGTCGGCTACCCTGATGACAGAGGTTCTACTAGAGGTTATCTCATTTATCGGGGTGCAATCTAGTTGCTTGGAGTTCTAAGAAGCAAGCCACCATTGCCCGATCTAGCATGGAGTCTGAATTCCGAGCTTGTGCAAGTGCTGCTACCGAGCTTCTTTGGGTATGTTCCTTGTTACATGATCTAAAACAGCCTCTTGCACATACTCCCGTGATTTGGTGTGACAACATTGGTGCCACGTATCTTGCCACGAACTTAGTATTCCATCTCGTACTAGACATATTGAAATTGATTTTCACTTCTTGTGAGATCTTGTTCTCAAGTGATCTCTTTCTATTCAATTTATTTCCTTGGATGATCAAATGGTAGATCTGCTAACTAAACCGCTTAGTGGAGCTCGATTTGCTTCTCTTTGGTCCAAGCTTCATGTCCTTCCTGGACATTTCACTTGAGGGGGCATATTAGGGAGTTTGAATCTAATAGAACTCTTCTTTTCTATGAGTTTGAATCTGATCTATCTCTCTCTCCTCTCCTAATCCTAACTCTAGTCTCCTTATATTCTTATCTCATTATCTTCTTGTTGTACTCTATCTAGAACTCTCAAAGAGTCCTATTGTAATCATGTTTGCTAACTCTATAAATACATAAGGGATCGGCCTTCCATTGTCACCCATTCATCTTGAGTTTATTCTATAGTGCATTATTTCTTTAAATCTCTTGAACAGACCCAATTTGAATAAGCTCAGCTAATGAACATATAGTGTGATTAGTGCCCTTTGGTGCATTTAATCAGTTGTTGAGGGTTTCAACAAATTGTCTCCAAGTAGGCTATAATTGGTATTCCCTGTACTAGTTAGTACCTTCCCTTCAAATCCCAAACTAGCGACCTAGACCCATTGTTCTTCCAACACATTGGATCTTGAAGTATTGGTAGATGAGCAGTACCAACCATTAAGATTGGCTTCAAAATATTTGCGCATGTCCAACTTAAGCCTCCTCTGATAGCTACCCCAAGATTCGCTTCTGTGAGCGGACTCCACCTTAACTTGTGAAGGATTAAGAGCTCCTTTACAGTGAGACATTCCTTTTGTTGGGCTAAGTTGATTAAACTTGGTAAGGATCTTGTCCAAGCAACTATCGAAGCTCCATTGGTCATTCTCCATCTTGCTCAATCTTTGCTCATACTGATCCATCATTTTGTCCTGGGAATCAAAGGGCTCTAATACCAAATTGGTATCATCTTTTCCTTAGGTTCTAATAGTCCGCCTGGACTTCCCTTGAGCTATGGTGTTGCTAACTTGCTACACTACTCACATAGGTGATAAATGCAGTAAAATGAAAGCATCCTGGCCTATAGCTATCCTAAAGTTGTTACATCTTAATTCAAAAAGCAAAATGATTAACAATGATAGATATCATGTGCCATGATCTCTATGAATAGATGGTTATGCGTTGATGTGACTTCCTCATGCAAAATAGGCTACAATGAGTTAATGCGCCTGCTCAGCTTCATCTAGATCAAGGATATACATATCAACCAGGTTGTTGGGACACAAAGATGCCATCTTGTTTGATTTCACCATTGCTCAAACCACATCAGTTGAGGATGAGGAAGAGGAAGAAGATTGTAAACCTTTCTATGAATATCTTAGAGCTCTAATACCATAAGGGTCTGTTTAGTTTGTAGTCAAAATCAGAATTGGAATCAAAATCAAAATCCTTTGGAATTGGAATCAGAATTGGCTTGAATGGATTCTCATTCCCATGGGAGGGGGAGGGAATGGCCATTCCCTCATACGGGGGAATGTCATTCCACCAAGAATGGGAAGGAAATTTCGATTCCACCCAACCAAACAGTTGGAACTAGAATGGACCACTCCAATTCTAATTTCGAACCCCTATTCCTGCAAACCAAACGGGCCCTAAAGTCTTATTGGAACCTCAGGCTTTGAACTAATGAGGAGAACCAAGGGAGAACTTTATTAAATAGAAACATTTGCAATTCAATCTCTTATAATATGAGAAAGAATTTCAAGGAAATATGAAAAATACAAAAAATAGAAGGAATAATTAAAGAAATGGAAGCAAATAAACAAATTTGATGTATCTTTAACTGATCCTTTGAGATCTCTTGAGAATCTTCTAGAGAGTACGAGTCAGCTTGGCCTAACTTGGCATCCAACTAGGGGTGCAAGTCGGGTGGGTTGGGCTGGGTTTATGGTCAACCTGGGCCCAACCCTAAAATTTGGGCTTAAGGCCTAAGCCCGGACCAAGCTGATATGTATGTAAGGGCTATGCCCGAGCCTGACCCAAAAATTAAAAACCCCGACTTCTTGGGCCCGAGCCCGGCCCAAGGACCAAAAATCCAAGCCCAACCCGTATAAAATTTCAGGCTGGGCCAGCCTTGCATCCCACACCAGTTATTTCTAGTTATTTTTAATAGTAGAGAACATATTCATCTCACATATGAACACTACAAGCTTTGTCACTCCAACATCTCTGGCCAAGTTTAGCCCGACGATAAGCACTTCATACTCAACCACGTTCTTGGATGCCTTGAACCCAAAGCGTAGTGCATATTCATACTCAACCACTGCCCTTTTGGTTAGACAATTTGGACTAGGAACAAGTGTCGAGTTGGTGGGTGGTTGCTTTGAGGCGAGTTGTTCTAGTGTAAAAGTGCATTTTACAATGAAGTCAATCAATGCTTGCGCCTTGATCGAAGTCAAGTTTCATATCTCACATTGAATTTGAAGAGTTTAATTGACCATTTGACCAATCTTCTAGAGACCTTTGGCTTTGCTAACACCTATTGAAGTGGTTGGTCAGTTAGAACCATGATGGTATGTGCTTAGAAATAAGGTCGAAGTTTTTGAGCTGAGATGACCAGGGCATAAGATAATTTTTCTATGTTCGGGTATCTGGTCTCGGCATTCCGTAACACCTTGCTGATAAACCACTTCAAACAGGTGACCACTGAGCTTATAAATGGGGCGTTGGACCCGATCTACCTCCCATGTGAGCACTGAGCTTATAACTTCATCACCAGCTGACAAGTATAAGAACAATACCACTCCAGGTTTTGATGTCGTCATCAGGGGTAGCGAGTTGAGATACTGCTTTAATTCTTTGAAGGCACTTGAAGAATGGTAAACACTGACCTCCGAACTTCGAGATAAATCGGCTAAGGGTAGCCACCTGACCTGTTAGCCATTGAACTTCTTTAATAGATCTTGGAGGTTGCATGTCTAAGATAGCTTGAACTTTTTTAGGGTTAGCTTCGATGCCACATCGAGTTACCATGAATCCTAGGAATTTTCTCGAGGTGACACCAAAGACACACTTATTCGGGTTGAGTTTAAGTTGATACTCCCTCAACACCCTGAATATCTCATTCAAGTCGCTTATATGATTATATGTAGCTTGGCTTTTAGCCACCATGTCATCGACGTAGACTTCAACATTCTTTCCTATTAATTCCTTGAAAATTTTGTTTACAAGTCTTTAGTATATAGCCCATTAGCTCCAACATTCTTTAAGCCAAAGGGCATTACTTTATAACAAAATAAACCCGTTTCAGTTACAAAAGATGTCTTTTCTTCATCATCTGAATCCATTGAGATCTGACTATATCTAGAAAATACATCCATGAAGCTAAGAAGCTTGTATCCTGAGGTCGCGTCAACTAGGTGGTCTATGCGAGGTAAAGGGAAGTAATCTTTGGGGTAGGCTCTATTTAAGTCATTGTAGTCAATACAGATATGCCACTTCCCGTTTGCCTTTTTCATGAGTACAACATTGCTAACCCAATCCGGGTACTCCACCTCCCTAATGAAGCTCAACAGCTTCCCGACCTCCTTGATCGCCTTCAAACACTCAGGGGTGAACTTCTGTCTTTTCTGCACATGTCTAACATTTGGGTCAATATTAAGCCTATGAGTTATGACTGAAGGGTCGACCATTGGCATGTCAGCCGCGAACCAAGCAAATACATCAGAATTTAAACATAAAAACCTTACCAACTCATCTCACAAGTCTAGAGGGAGAAGAGAACCAATCTTAACAGTCTTGTCTGGCTCCGTCGCCGAGATGGGTACTACCACGGTCTGAGTTCGGCTGGTATTCTCCTCGGTTGGTTGGTCCATATCAACAGCTACGACCTCCTTGTCTTCTATGGCTGGTTTTTTTTTCTATTTCCTCGGCTTCTCTTCCTTCACGGGTTGTTTCCCCTTCAGCGCCTCCATGTAGCATGGTCGGAATTTGAGCTGACTACCCCAAACTGTCCCCACGTCATTCTTAGTAGGAAATTTCATCGCCAAGTGGTATGTTGATACCACAACATGGAGAGTGTGGAGCAAAGGTCTACCAAAAATAATGTTGTAAGGTGATGGTGAGTTGACAACAAGAAATTTCGTCATTACACTAGCTTGTCTCAACATGGTCCCACTGTTATCAACCGGCAAATTTTCCCAATTGGTCTTACCACATCCCTTGAGAAGCCAACCAAAGGCTGGTCGGCCAAGGCAAGTCTCTTCTTATTCAGTTTCATCTATTCAAAAGTTGTCAAAATCAGAATGTCAACTGAACTTCCATAATCATTTAAAATCCTCTTTACCAGGTAGTTTTCTACTGTCATGGTGGCGACCAAGGCATCGTCATGTGCAAAATGAACATTCTTTAGGTCATCATCAGTGAATACAATGGGCTCGCTGGTCTTGGGATTCTTCTCGAGTCGGCCTCCCTGATCGGTTTATAGTTCACTCACTAGATATCTTCTCACGGTCTAATTGCACCTAGCTAACATTGAGCCTCCTACCATGACATAAATTATACCTGTGATTTCGTCCTGGAGGTCGTCCACGTCATCCTCTTCTTTCTGCTCATTTGTTGTTGAATTCTCTTTCAGGAATTGCTTCAGATAGCCTCTTGCTATCAATTCTTCTATTTCATTTTTCAGATCATAATAGTCCTCCGTATCATGACCAACTGTTCAGTGGAATTTATAGTACTTCTTTTGGTTCCACTTGGTTGGGTTCCCCTTCAATCATTTCGGCCATTTTAGGAACTTCTCACTCTATATTTGTATCAGAGTCTAACCTCGAGGGACATTCAGGGGAGTATACCTCTTGAACTTCCAAGGTGGAGTTCGAGATTGTGTTGATGACCCCTCACCCTTGGACCCCTTGATCTTCTTCCGTCCTTATCTATCTTCTCTGTCTTTCTTTCACTTTTTCTCTTTGTGGTCCTTCTTCATCTAAAATGTCTCCTCTGCATTCATGTACTTTGTTTCTCGCTTTAGGAACTCCTTCAAGTTGTGGGAAGGGGGGTCTTCATTAGGGAAAATCTGAAGTGCTTATCTTTGACACTTCGAACCATTGTTGACAGCTCGACGATGGGATCAAGGTCGTTCATCTCTAATGCCTCATTCTCAAACCTCTACACATATGCCCACAACCTCTCTCTAGGATTCTGCTTGAAATGCATTAACATTACTGTCGTCTTTTGGCACCTGCGGCTGGTAACAAAGTGAGTAACAAATAAACTCCAAAAACTAGTCCCAACTCTCTACGAACTAAGGTGGCAGCCCGGAATACCATAGCCTAGTTGCTTTCCTAAAAGTAGTAGGAAAGGCCATGCACATGCTAGCTTTCAAAGCGTCATGAAACATCATCGGAGCTTGGAAGATCTCCATATGATCTACTGGGTCACCCATACCATTATATGTCTCAAAGGTTAAGTTCCAACAAAATCTCTAGAACAAGGGGGGATGCTTTGGCCAGGTTGGGTATGTTACTGGTCAGCTTACTTATTACTTCTTGGTGAGCGACGTCAAGTCTATCAGGGTGTTCCCTTCACTCACCACAGTTACTTGCTGGTGAATGATGTCGGTGCCTCCTGAGCTGCCCAGATGCTCGTGTTGATCCGTCCTGCAGGAGGAGTTTGATCTGCTCATTTCCCTAGAGACATACGAACCTCGAGCAGGTGGATCTAGCTACTAGTAGTGCTTTTCACGTCGGTCCTATCCTTCATCTCCCCCTCTCTTTGTCCTCTATCCCTGGTGTCAATCATGGTGAGATGGAGACCTATCTCTTCGTTCAAGGTGCCTTCCATTGTGCCGAGCTAGAGGGTCGACCGGTGAAGGCGGCGGTGGAATTGGCTGGTGTTGCTGCATCTACTGGATGAGCTATACGACTTAAGTTTTCTGAATTGGTTGTATTGGATGGTCTCCATGAGGTGGTGGCTATTGTTGGTCCTTATATGCTTCCATTGCCGCATCTCGCGTTGCTTGCCTAAAAATCTATACGAGCTCATCTTTTGCATGAACTTTGAGGTTCATGTCCTTAACAATGTGAACCAGATCATTGAACTCATCTTGGAGTCCACCTGCAAAGGAAGAAGAAAGGTCAGAGGGCCCAGGGTGATATCCCGGGCTTGCAACTCTGATGATCAAGTTAGTGCACCGAGCTATCCAAGGGGTAGGTGAGAATTTAATGAAGCATAAAGTATGAATTGAATGCTATTTAGACCTTTATATAGGTTTCAGAAGCACATCGTGAGTGTATGTGTTGGATAAGTGTGGGACATCTATCATACCTCAAAACACTTGGTATTTGGCCTTGAACACTTGGGGCTTGACCAGGATACCTAGAGCTTGGCTTCAGGACACCTAGAGCTCTACAGGCCACCTGGAGATCAGTCAGGCCACCTGGGGTTTAGCCAGGACCACCTGGGGCTCAACCAGGGTCACCTGTCAGGCGACATGGCCACCTAGTGCTCGAGTATAACATGCTTGGCTGACTTGTGTGCCATGTTATGAATTCATGGTGTGGGGTTGGGACCCATTGATTGATGGAGTGTCTTACGTGTCAAGCATTCTATTGCACGGGCTGCCAAATGGTTGCTCTTTGGACACATGGTAGAGTTTTATATATGCTTGCCTTTGATAGCAATTCGCCTCAATTGGAACTACTTCCTCGGCACTCGGCTCAATTGTCGTTTGAGGTCGCTCTTAGACCAGGACTTTGCAGGGACTCGGGGAAGCTCGTTCCAGGTTGCACATCTCTTGACGAGACAGGCTCACAACCCTTGATGTGATTCTCCTTGACCTAAGGCCGCGCTAGGCTTTTGATGTCCAGCTTGCGAGTCGGTTGACAACTCTCCTATGGATGCCATGTGTCTAATTACTCGGAGGTCGGTTTTACTCCCATCATATATTTTTATGTTGACGCTTTGGTGAAGGTGGATTTGAGAAAGGCAAAAGCGACAAGAGGGAGAGGAAGGGATGGGTGAGGTCAGGCTTCGAGTTAGTTCTCCAGCGAGTTAGGGTTGCGAGTCTTGAGTTTACATTTTTTTGTAAGACTGTGTAGATCGCATTTGCCATTTAGGTTTGATATTGGAGATCGGTGTTTCTTTGTCTAGAGAAGTTGTGGGGTTGTTCGATCTTCTTGTTTTTTGGGCGGTGGTTTGGGGAGCGCTTGTTGCGAAATTCTCTTTGGCGTCTTGGGTGCTTTTATTTTTTGGATTTTTTATTCGGATCTGAGTTGGCTATGATTCTAGTTTTAATGTGCAACTTCCTAGACCTGGCAATTGGATTGGGTGGATCAATTTCGGGTTGGGTCAAGGTACTTCGGGTTGATTTAAGATCGGGTTGAATTTCGGGTTGGGTTGTCAAGTGCTAGACCCTAACCCTAAATGTTCGGGTTAGGGTTGACCCATGGGTCAATTAGGGTCATCCCAAAAATAATTGAAATTTAAAAAAATAAAGAAAAATTACATGAAAAATGTCAAAATTAAAAGAATTAACCTTAAAATTCCAAATATAAAATAAAAAACTTGAACATTTAACAATAAAGAGTAAACAATAAAAAGTAAAGACTAAATAGAAAAAAATTAAAGAGTGGAAACTTCTAACAATGCATAAATAATCCCAATTAAACTTGACAATCGGGTTAGCAGGTCGACTCATGACCCAACCCAGTTTTTTTTGGGTTGGGTCGGGTTGGGTCATTTTCACATTCGGGTAGCTAAATATGAGACCCTAACCCTATTTTTTTGGGTTGGATCAACTTTTTGCCAGGTCTATATCTACTCTTGTTTCTCTTTCCATAAAATTTTCTATTTATTTATTAAAAAAAGTTTGAATTTTCCAAATTGATTTACCATGTGCATATGATTCCATTTGCTAAAGGACCTGAATGGTCAAGCCAAGTGGGTCAGTTAGGTCATTTGACGAAGAGACTGTGAATGACCAATAGAATCTTCCACGTGGCAAGTACAAATTTCATATCATAAAAATATTAAAACTTACTTTAAATGGTGGTGACTAGCTATTACTAGGTTAAAACACAGCACTAACACATAAGGTGGGGTACATCATATATGACGACCCTTGCCAAGTTCATATATATATACATGCCAAATATGCCAGCTAAAGAATAAGTCGTGTTTACGGGCCGGGTCAAGTCAAATACAATCAGATCATGAGGTGTGTATATTAATTAGTCCTTGTGAAATTCCACCAGCTAGCGTTGTGACAAGTGACAAAACCTACATACATACGTACGTACATATATATATATTACGTACATTCATGCTTCATGCATGCATATAATTGACACGTCTGTAGTGAAACATCTAAAAGCTGATGGTCTGACATATGTTTCATCACCATGGGTGTGGCGTTTGAAACTTTGATCCAGGTTCAGAGAAACAACCGTACCCTTACATAGATAAGTATTTCGATCGGTGAATCTACAGTGTCGAAACCCTAAACCCCATTTAATATGTGGTGGCTTGTAAGCTGTCTCAGCATAGCTAGGGCTCGTACATATAAATATGGGCATATGTAGCTTTCAGGGGGACGGGGGTGTTTCTTTCCCTAGCTAGCTAGTTTTAACTTGTTGGATCTTGGCTGTTCATAATTGTTCATCATTTTAAGCCTCTAAAGATTGGGACTGTGTAAAATACTAACATCGATCGATCGGTCATTGATTTGCTTAAAACCTTGTTGAGAACTTGGACGATCGAGAGAGAGAGAGAGAGCATGGAGAGTAGGGCAAGATTAGGGGGTCTGTGGGAGGTGGTGAAGGAGATATTTTGCCAGAAACTCCTTACTTATTATCTACCTTGTTCTTCCGTCCTACCCAACCATCTGTCTGGTCTTTCCGTCATCGTCACCGGCGCAACCAGCGGTATCGGTCTTCATACGGCAAGGTAACTCCTTTTCTCTCCCTCTCGATCAGGCTCTCACTCACATATATATTTATATATACAACAAAAAGCTAGCACGCCCTGATGATCAGTATCTTAATTTCTTCATTCCTCGGCCATTTTCTTAATATATAGTAAGCATTTATTAGCTTGCTCTTTTCTAATTCCATTCAAACAGACAGAGCAAGAAATATGCATCTTAGATTGATAGAAGTGTGGCTACAAATTACATGTTTTGAATTTAGCAGTGTTTATTATTAGTTTTGTCAAGATAATGTCAAGAAGAACAACTTCTCAATTTCTCTTCTCAAAATGAAATATAGATTATAGAAGTTTCTGTCTTGGTTCCTTTGAAGAACACAGTATATAGATAGAAAGAAGAAAACAAAAAAAACCCCACAAAAGAGAAAAAGAGAAAGCAAAAGTGGAAAAGCTTATGTAATTTGAAGATGGCGTATACAGGCAAATAATGATATTACAATTTGGGTCAGTAGTCATCAGTGTGTTGATCTCTCCATGCAACAGGGAACTAGCAAACGCGGGGGCCCACGTTATCATGGCTTGCAGGAACACCAAGGCTGCAAGCGACATAGCACGTCAGTGGACGGTAGAGGCGCACTATAGAAAAGTTCCTAATGTTGAGGTATCGTGCGCCCTGGCTATAAAGTGCATGCAGTAGAGTAGTAGTATTCACTATTCAATATTCCACTATAGTTGTTTCATTCTATCAGTTTAATTCTTTTATTATTATTTTATTCAGACTGACATTGCTTAATCACACAGGTCATGGAGCTGGATCTCCTCTCCCTTGCCTCCGTCCGGCGGTTTGCCGAAGTCTGGGAGCAACGGGCGGTGCCCTTGCATATTTTAATCAACAACGCCGGAGTTCTACTGATGGGAGGTAATTAATAAATAAAATTTTAGTCTGTGTAGAAGAAGATCTGATCTTTATAACAGCGATGAAAGAACCAGAGACCATGCATTGCCATCATCGGATTGTATACTAAGAGAAGAGTGACATGGGCAAGCCGCTCCAGGTTCATCAACAAGTTTTTCGGTTGTTAGAAACATTAATTAATTAATTTGTTCTGATTGATCTGGAGATGATCAATCCTTTTCTAACAAGAAATAAGTTGTTTTAGAACATTGTAGATTCTGAGAAGGGTTGAATATTGTAGATTCTATAGCTGGGGGAAATTTATGACATTTTCACTCTTAAGAACTATAGTATATATGTCCCAGAACTTTCAAATAACTATTAAATTTATTCTCTTTTATAAATTCTTTTAACCCTAAATAGATCTGCAAAATTCTATTTTTTTTATTTTCTTTAAAAATATTACTATGAACGGTATTCTAGTTTATATATTTTCTTTGTAAAAAAATTTAGGATTCTGAAAACTTCCACTGTTTTTTACAATTTTATATAGCACTGTTTCATCTACTAATAAATATATAATTGTTATTAATTAAGAATTATCTTCTCTTTTTATTTCTTTATCTCCTTATTTGCCTTTTGGGTTTCTAATACTCTACAGAGCCACAGCAATTTTCAGTGGATGGGCTCGAGCAACATATGCAAGTGAACCATGTAGCACCGGCGCTGTTGACTCTCCTTCTCTTACCCTCCCTACTCAAAGCTCCATCTTCTCGAATTGTTAATGTTAATTCTGTGGTAATTCCTTCTTGCTTTGTCTTATCCATTTTAAATTATAAGACGATGAAATGCTGAAGAAAAAATATATAATTAGTTCAACCAAGGTTTTTAAAATCGGATCGGATAGGAAATTGTTCTTGCGACCAGTTCGCAGGGCGAATGAACGGCCCATTCTGATTTAAAATAATAAAAAAAAAAACGGCCAACAACAGATCAACGATTTGACTGCCCGGATCAGTGGGTCGCTGACAAAATTAATGGTTTTTGTCCAAAAAGCAAATTTAGAGTGAAATGGAACCGATTATCTAACCGGTTCCCATTTTTCTGATTTAACCATCCGCTCCGATTTAGAAAACCATGAGTTCAAGCCTAGGTTGATTAAACTAAGTCGTGCAAAAGGGTTTAATCCCCCCTCTCTAACCTATTTTTGTCTGTTAATTAAACCTTGCATTTCCATGTTCTCTCTACTTTGCAAGACGGTTGACTGGACCCATCAAACAGATATTATGAGGTTTTTTTTTCTAAATGATAATCATGGATTAACGCTTACAAGGGATGAGAGTTTTTCTTTTACACAATTATCTATTATTACTACCAAATAATTATAGTGGGAAAAAATATTTTGAGTGTTGGGTTTGTATGATTAATTCCTGTTTATTTTACATTCAGGTTCATCATTGTGCAGTCATGGAGCCCAAAAATTGGAGGGGCAAGGTTAAAGAGCACAATTTCAGCAGCATGAAAGCATATGCAGCCAGCAAACTTGCACATGTAAAAGCAATTAATGCTCTCTTGTTTACTTATATGGATGTTATCAACTTCACAGAAATTACAATTTTCATTTGACCAATGCAAAATTATAGTTATAATTGGTTTTCAATAAAGTTGATGACCTAATTAATTTCTCTTCATAATAAACATCTTTTAAGGGCACGTCTATTAGGTTTTGATACATGCATAATGATATATTTGAGTTGAGGATAAAGTACTTTTCAGCCTTCTTATAATAATCTCCTTTCTACTTCTAATTAAATTATTTATCTTTCATTTGATACAGCTTATGTTTCTCAAGATATTGGCTAACAGTCTCTTAGAACAGAAGAGAGCTTCCATTCAATGCATTGCTGTACATCCAGGAATTGTCACCACCAAATTGGTAAGAGATTTATTGTACTTTGATTTGTTATGGAAGATCGAGCTAATTAGCTGATGTATTAATTGAATTTCTTTTCAGGTTCCTAGCTTCCAGAAGAAATCATTCTGGATGTTTGACCCTGCTGAGGGTAATGAACTGTCACTTCGATGAATGCCTATATATATATATATATATATCAAATTTACCATATATTAGCTCAAATAGATCAACCTCTAACTAAACCTCCCTCAATGAACAACTTCAATGTGAATTATATTTAGGTCCCATTTGATTCATGGGAATAGGGGTTTGAAATCGGAATTGGGATGGGCCATTCTGGTCCCAATAGTTTGGTTGGGTGGAATCGGAATCCCATTTCTATTTATGATGGAATGCCATTCCCTTCCCTTCTTCCCTTGGGAATTAAATCCCATTCCAGTTGATTCCAATTCCCATTCCAATAATTCTTGTCTGAACCAAGTAGACTATAAGAATAGATCATTCTGATTCTGATTCTTACTACAAACCAAATGAGCCCTTACTAATTGATTTGCTTGTTAACTTGTTATACACCTATTCTAGGAGCAAGGAGTGTCCTCTTCTGTGCATCAAGCGATCAGGTGGCTGACGACCTGGACAATGGTTTTGCATACTACTCATGTAACTGCAAACCAGGAAGAGTATCACCCCATGTAGCTAATATGGATTCATGCTTGGATGTCTGGAAGAAGACATTGGAGATTTTGCAATTAGATGATAATTATCTCTCCCAAATGATCGCAAATACTAACGAAAAACTGAATAAAAATGTATAATCATCTGTCTATATTAATTTCCAACGTCTGTTATTTGTTCTCCAATATCTATGGTTCCAAAACTTCAAAACCCTTTAATAAAGGGGTAATTACTTGTACCCCACCTGAGCATTCAGTACTTACCATCCCTTTGGTTTACCTCATAAGTTATATACCATTTGACTATAAAGCTAAAGGAGGTTAATGGAAGAGATAGAATTAAACAGAGAATAGTTATTTGCACTAATACAAATGTATGGGAGTGCAAACAGAGAAAAGGGTTGTTAGTAAGAAGGTCGACATTCTAGCTTCTTCCAGATGTCACTAGCTTGGAAAGAAGATTAATGAAAATTTAGGGAAGGTTGGCCAGGCAAAGGCAAAATCTAGGTTGAGCTTGGAGTCTTGGGTCCTTTAGGGGTGAGTATAGGTTAGTTCAGTTCGATTCTAAGGCAGAACTTAGAACCTACCTTATAAGAGTCGGTTCCAGGTTTTTAAAGCAAGAACCTTTCTTGCCAATGATCTTTCTAATGATGAGTGTCGGGGTTCAAACCAAAATACCCTCATTACTAGCTCTCTGAGTCGGTTCAGATAGGATAAACCAATGTTTTAAAAATCAATCGAGAAATAGAACCATTTTGACCACCGGTTTTCGGGTCTACAGTGTGACCATCTAGGAGTGGTTTGATATACTACTTAACATTAGATTGGAATATTAGGATAAAAATGATGATAGGTATATATTCTTTTGTGAGAAAAAGAGAGATAGGTGGCTGTCGGCTGAGAAAGGAAAGAAAGAAAGGAAGGAAGAAAAGGAAAAAAGGAATAAGAAGGAGGAGGAGATGTTCACCGATGATGATGACAGCGGCGGTGACAACAATGGTTGTGATAGATAGCAATGGCAACATTTCTCCCTTGACCCTTTCTACTCTCTCTCTCTCTCATCTTAGTGATCTCAGATTTGAGATCTTGTCTCAATCCCTCCCTGTCTTTACATCACTTTTTTTTTTCTCTGTTAATGATCTTTGAAATAAAAAATTAAATATTTTATTAAATAGTGAACCGCTGCTTGGGGTCAAACGGTTTAGTGACTCGACCACCCAGGTCAGCAGTTTTCTGACCATTTCAATTGTTTTTTGCAAAATAATGGTTCAAGGTCAAAATTGAACCAATGACCTGACTAGTTCCTAGGTCAAACAATTTAACCGTCCAATATGGTCTGGTTTTCAAAACAATTAATGGTGTAAACGCCTACACCTTGATTAAAATCAGCCTAAGTGGTATCACAGATTATCTTTTTGTTATTGTTGCAATAATTGACTATTTATATCTTCTATTTTCTATATTTTTCTCTTTTCTTAATGAAATTTTATTTTACCTTAAAGTTATGTTTTGTTTGAAAGAAAAGGAAGAGAAAGAAAGTGAAACCTAAGAAAGAAAAATTAAAATTAAGGTTGTATTTGATTGCAGTTAAATTTTATTTGCAATAGTACAAATGCATGGGAATATAAATGATAAAAAATGCAAATTCTCAATTAATTTACTACATTTGTACTGAAATCAAACAAAATAAGCTAAAATTTAAAACAAAAATAAGTAAGAATTTACACTCAAATCATTTGCACTACCATCTTTTTACGTTAGTGCAAATTTATTTGAATTGCAACCAAACACAGCCTTACGAAAAGGTTTCCCTTGCTTTTCTTTCAAACCAAAAACAGCTTAAAAAAAGTAGTAACGAGGGTATTCTGGTTCAAATAATATACAACACAGTACAACAATGATAAAATAGGAGAATCTGGCTATGTTACCAAAAAGGTATCATACCTGAAAAGCTAGCTTGATAATCAATCAATTGGTATTCATCCAAAATCCAAATAAGTTTTTTCGATATAATAAAAATTTCCAAAACAGATATTTAATTTGAAGAATTTTAAAGGTTAATTAGGGATTCATTTGATTTACAATTGAAATTAGAATGGGAATTCGAATCAAAATTCATTGGAATGGTCTATTCCCCATCTGTTTGGTTCAGAAAAAAATCAAAATCAACTAGATGGGATTCTCATTCCCTCATCCCGCGGGAATGAGTATCCCCAAATTTTCCCTGCTCACACACTTTTATTTAGGGTGAGTTTCGGAGCGAGGTTAGGGTGGAGTGGACAAATACCACTCCCACCCCAAAACCCAGTCGGTCAGAACCATGACATGGGCGGGTCAAATTGCCATCCCTGCTTGTAGATCGTGTTAGTGGCGTAGAGTGAAATAACTATCTTAACCTCATCTACAAGGGGTGAATTTTGACAAAGCCGAGGCATAAGCACAGTTAAGTGAGGACCCATGCGATGCATGGGCTTTGTTAAAAGAACTTGAGGCAAAAGGAGTTAGGGGTGCAGCTTGAGTTGGTCTAATCGGATTCCGACCCAACACAATCAAAGATTTTGCATAGGTTGGGCTTAAGCTTTCAACTTCAAGCTGGGCTTAGGCTAAAAAACTCAAGCCTAACATAAATTCAGGTTGGGCTTGGGTTGAGGCCTTGGGTAGTACCAGACCGATTTGACCAATTTAAGCCCGCCCAACATTTTGTAATATACATATCTATATATTACAAATAATTCAATATATTTTACCTAGAAATTGGGCTACAAAGCTCAACACATCCAATCCCAAGCCCAGCTCAAGATGTTGGGTTAAAGCTCAAGTTAGGCCTAGGTTGGCAAGAGAAAAATTACTGGTAGTTTTCAATAATTACTGATAATTTACTAATATATAACAAAAATAGAATGACAATAATTACTGATAATTTACTAACTTAGCCCCGAGTTTACCAACTTATGTCCAACCTGAGCTTAACCTAACATCTTGGGCTAGGTAAATTATATTGATAAAATTGGGTTGGGTTGAGTTTAAATTACCCGAGGCCTCAACCCAAACCCAACCTGAGTTTAGGTTAGCCTTAAGTTTTTTGGCCTAAACCCAGCTTGAAGTTCAAAAACTCATGCCCAACTTATGCAAAAGCTTTGGTTGAACTAGGTCAGGCTCTAGTTAGGCCCAACCAACCCAAGGTACACCCCTAGCTCCTTTTGCCTCAAATTCTTTTAACAAAACTCGGGCATCACAGGGTCACCACTAATAATTAATAGCACTAATTTTAATTTATAGTTACTAATAGTAATATTAATTACTAAGAATAGAAATATTTTATGGTATTTTTAATTGTTCACAAGAATAGTTAATAATTATTTTTAAATTTTATAATTAATATTTTGAAAATATTAATAAATTTATAATTATAGTTAATAATATTCTCAATCAGGAATTAATAAATTTTATAATTCTTAATTTATAAAAATATTTCTATATATATTACTATTATTAAAAGTAATAATAGTTAATTTAATAATCAATTTAATTATTCATGAAACAATTATTAATTTTAAAATTTTGATAAATAAAACAATTAATTATTTTTAATTAATTAATTAATAAAACAATTTTTAAATTTCTATATATATAGATATGTTACTAATTAATTAATTATTAATTATTAAAATATCACTAATATTAATTACTAAAAATAGTAATATATTTTGGTATTAAATTTTGGAAATTTTTAATAAATCATGGATATAAATAATAGATTTTAAGTGAATGCACTTTTTTAATTAATTTTGGTAAGCTATTAGTAAATTGTCGACAATATTAGTAATTAATCCAAAAAATATTACTAAAATGAAAATTATTAATTATTAAAAATAGCAATATTTTTTGAAAATTTTTAATTAATCACGAAAATAATTTATTTATTTTTTGTATGAGTTATAATAAAATCAATTGAATTTTTTAATTACAAACAATACATAATATACCATTCAAAGAGAGAGAGAGAGAGAGAGAGAGAGAGAGAGAGAGAGAGAGAGAGACGTGTCTTAATAGAAGTAGGGATGTGGGGATTAGTTAAGAGTATAAAGAAAGTTCGTTATGAGCAATATTTTAGGAATTAATAAACTTTGAGAGTTTTAAGAACAATAAATTAGGAATGCCGAGAGGTTTTGGGAGATAGGGGATAAAGAGAGATTTTAGGAATATACATTGAGCTAGCTAATTATGAAATGAAGATAGAAGGTGCTGAATTGGCTTAATATGAGTGGTGAGAAGGGGAGAGGAGAGAGAATCAAGGAGAATGTAGGGTGGGGGTAGATCATCAATTCATCATCACAATGAAGGTATATCTAACCTATATATATATATATATAT